TCGACTTGTTCTCGGTCTCGACTTGGTCTGGGTCTGTCTTGGTCTCGGTCTTGACTTGGTCTGTCTTGGTCTCAACTTGTTCTCGACTTGGTCTCGGTCTCGACTTGGTCTGGGTCTGTCTTGGTCTCGTCTGTCTTGGTCTCGGTCTTGACTTGGTCTGTCTTGGTCTCAACTTGTTCTCGAATAAGTCTTGGTCTTGACTTGGTCTCAGTCTTGACTTGGTCTGTCTTGGTCTCAACTTGTTCTCGACTTGGTCTTGACTTGGTCTCGGTCTGTCTTGGTCTCGGTCTGTCTTGGTCTCGGTCTGTCTTGGTCTCGGTCTGTCTTGGTCTTGGTCTGTCTTGACTTGGTCTGTCTTGGTCTCTGTGAGTGAGGTAAAACACAAGTAGACCGTTTGCTAGATTTTATAACAAAGCTTCTCAGTTGCTTTATACTCCTCTGTTAGCTCTTTTTCTTGTGGCGTCCCTTGTTTTCCAATCCGTGGTTTTAGGAAATGACAGAGCGGTCCAGATATCCGTCTAGCATGTGACATGACGAGTACATCCTTCTGTCTGAAATATGCAATCTCAGTGTTGTGGTCTGTCTCTCGAGAGAATGACTCAAGAGTTGAACAAAAGATCTCTGTCCTCGACTTGACTTTGGCATTGTTTTGTCTCATTGTTTTGTCTCTGTTTTTCCAGCTATCACTTAAAACACTTTGATGCTTTCAGAGAGCGATTGTTTTTGACAAGTGTATTCTGATCAATGCAGCAGTGCAATCATGCTCAAATACAAGTGTTCACCTGTTTCTCATTACTCCTATTTCACTTCTGACTAAAACTAGCAACATTTTATGCATCATCTCATCATTGTTGTCTCTCTGTCTCAAGGAAGGAAAGAGTTGTAGACTTTATAATTAGTTTTGCAAATGATTCATGGCAGAAGTCACTCTGTGGCAAGCCTCCAAACATGAAAGATTTATATCTATGTAGGTAAGATGATGTAAATGATAAAACAGTAGGTTTGAGCCAATAACTTGAGCACAGTCATGATTTCACTCTCACATTGGTTAAACTTAACTAGTTTCATTATCTTTGGCCCAGCTGGTATTAAAAGAGTAGTTCACTTTAAAAAAAAAACTTTTGCTGATAATTTACTCACCCCCATGTCATCCAAGATATCCAAAATGAACGAATCTTTTTTCGTGTTATTTGATTCATTCAATGAACGAAATGAACGAGTTGACTTTGGAAAAAGATTCGTTCATTTTGATAAACGAGTTCGAACAGGAGAGTCACGAACGCGCATCACACGACCATTTGAGCTTATAAAACTTAAACTTTGTTATTTTTTTTTTTAAATGAGCGATCGTTTCGCTTGATAAGACCCTTATTCGTCGTCTGGAATCGTTTAAAGCCCTTTGAACAGTTTACAGTTTGCACTGAAACTGTCTTTTGGACCTTGAACCGTTTGGACCCCATTAAAGTCCATTATATGGAGAAAAATCCTGGAATGTTTTCATCAAAAACCTTAATTTGTTTTCGACTGAAGAAAGAAAGACGTGGACATCTCGGATGACATGGGGGTGAGTAAATTATCAGCAAAAGTTTTTTTTTTTTTTTTAAAGTGAACTACTCCTTTAAGATGTGTTTTGGCCAATCAGATCACATTAAATTCAGGTGTAAACGTTTTGAGCTTGTCCACTTTCAACCACTCGAATGTGTTCAAACAGCCACAAAAGACTCTCCTCCTACTGATTTAATGCGTAAACATTATGGGAAGTGCGCTAGCCAGACGGGGTTTCAACTTTGTCAGCTTGAGGCTCAAGTCAAAAAATGTACCATCACAATGTTCTCCTGATTTCTAACACACACTCATAGTGTTCGTGATCGAAAGAGACTGATTTAAACAACAGGTGTAAACTGGTACGTCTCCCTCCTCTAATTGTGATCTGATCAAAACGCATCTCAGGGCCTTAAAGAGCATATTGCAGGTAAAAAAAAAAATCGAAATTTATAGATAACCTTGTATGAAAATACCATATGAAAAGTTAATGCAGGATTTAAAATGTTTTAAAACAACATAAGGGCACTAATTTAGAAGATAAAGTGAGCGTTTCTTGGACTGCTAGTAAAAACGGCTTTTTTTTCAACGTCGCGTCATTTGACGTCATAGCAGGGAGCCGCAGCCTCGGCTCAGTGAGAGCAGGCTGGTGTTCAGTGAGAGCGCTCGTCAGTCAGTGTGCTTTCGTTAGTTTTTGCATTTTAATTTATCATCGTCATGGTAAATATTGTGTTTGTGGAGATTGCAAAAACTCCAGCCTGTCAGGACTTCAAGATCGAGTCCACAAGTTTCCATTACAATAAAAGTGACTGTGCTATAGCCTATCTTTCGTTCCTGGTGCGGTTTGAGCAGGTGAAGAGACGGGATTTCTCCTCTCGGCTCGGAAAACACGGTCGTGTGTAGCGTTCACTTCAGATCAAATGATTAGCATCTCGGCAATATGATGGAGTTCAACATGGTATGCCGAAGCAAGAATATTGATCGTCGTATACTACTGGCATCAAATAGTGTTATATAGGTAACTTAGTCATGTCATGCCCTAAATAAAACTTGTAATTGAAAAACAAAATTGGTTGTTTAAATACTCAAACCTTTAATGTTCTGTTTATGTTATAACCAAGGTGAAAAATATGTATTAAAAATTTACCCGAGTATAGCCTATGCTTTTAGTATAGAAATATACTCAAGTAAAGTTTTTATACATTTAATAGTATATAAATCTACCCTAAACATACTAATGTCTGCTGGCCTGTTATAGGATCATAATAATCTGTACAATATTGTGAGCACAGTGTATATCGTTAGCGAACGTGTATACTATAAGTACGTCTCTCACCTAAAAGGCACCTGTCCTGTTCTCCACTGGTTCTCCTCACATCACAGCTCAATTTTTCTCTGACCATTCTGTCTGACATTATCCTGGCCTGTCCCTGATCTCTTTAGCATAGCAGGCTCATAACTTTATGGCTTGATCCGTCATACGAGTATTTCCTCAGCGTCCGAAATGTCATTGCGATTCATTGTTTTCCTGTTGTGTGAATCGACCGCTCTCCCGCTCATTGCGTCACGCCCGCCACGCCCATTTTCAGACGCGGAAGTAAAATTTTCTCACAAAAACGACTGCAGAAGCTTCTGTGGCGTGTTTATACGTATATTTTAAAGAAAATCTAGTTCCTACATTGTTTTTCTATGCATTGACTCGTTGGGTCCTCTAACCTGCAATATGCCCTTTAAAGGCTTTGGTTCACTCGTTAGCCTGCTCTCTGGTGGCACGTCCATGTTCACTGCAAACCTCATGATACAGAAACCTGTCCGGAAACAGTTGTTTTCACAGGTTGATGCAACGAGCTTTCCACATTAGTGGCATCAAAACCATGAAAAGATATAACAGTGTTGTTTATGGCTGCAAGTAAAATATGCAAAAGCAGAACTTTATATTTGATCCTTTTTTGTGCATTAAAATAATCATGTGAAATAATTAGTACATATTACTTTTTGAATAGACAGAAATTGGACACATTTTCTTGTTATTTGCAAAAAAGAATTTATTTTTTCATATTTTCTTGCAATATTTACATTTCTTTCCCATTCAGCCGATTGGGGACCAACACTCAAGTTGAGATAAACTGAAATAGTGAATGCAATCCTACTTCATCCTGTCTCTGACCAGACGCTCGTGACCCCAGTGTGTGTTGAAAGAGAGCGGAGGTGTGACCAGGCCACGCTGACTTCCTGTTTTCTGCACTTCCTCATTGTTTATTCGCCTTTTCAAACACTGGATATCTTTGTTTTGCTCTTCGTCAGTGGGAGAGAGTGAGTGGGAGTAGAGATGAATCGAGACTTTGGTCGGAATAACGCACCATCATTGTGTTTCTATAATAATTAGTATGTGTGTGCTTGGCATTGAATGCATTGCAAGGTCAAAATGTGCAGTTTGCAAAAGAGCTCACTGTGTGTGAAACTGTATTCAACTTCATCTTCAATCTACAGTGTGACACATGTGATTTTTAAAAATTACTATTTTATTCGACCTTATGATATATATATATATATATATATATATATATATATATATATATATATATATATATATATATATATGAAGAGTTCAGATGCAAAAGCCTCTAAGTGCCATTTGAAATTTTCTTCTAGAATGATCATTTTTATCAAGCTTGTATATTTAAGTTCAGTAATTTCACTTAAATGGCAATGATAATTACCTATAAATTGTCATTTACGTGAAATTACTGAACTTAAATATACAAGTGTGATAAAAATGATCATTCTAGAAGAAAATTTCAAACGGCACTTAGAGGCTTTTGCATCTGAACTCTTCATATATATATATATATATATATATATATCATAAGGTCGAATAAAATAGTGATTTTTAAAAATAATTTAGTAGTACATTAAAAAGTAATGTAGTGTTATATTCTGAGAATAGCAAATAGATGAGTTTTCCCAAAAGCATTTAGTGGCGTAAAACAATCACAGCTCATCAGGTTTAACGGCAGCTCTTCTCCAAACTTTAAAAGCAAGAGAATAATAATAATAAACATTAAGATGGAGAAAAAACGCAGGGTTTAATCTGTGCTGTGAATAGTGTGTAATGAAAATACATTTGAGACACATCATTCTGTATTATTATTGAGCTCTGCTAATTAGTTTTGGTTCCCGTGATGGTGTTTAGAGATTACAGTGAAAACAGTTTTGTGGATTGCGACATGTTTCAGACGTGTTTTTATGAACATGACTGAATCACTGTGCTGGAGGAGTGTCAGTCAACGTCAAACGTGCCCGTCAATTTCTCTGAGGCTGGGAAGTGGATTATTCGTGTTAGCAACAATTATGCATGTTATACAAGAATATATTTGCATTGATTTTGCTGTCAATTTATGCCATTTTTGTTCAAGAGGACCTGCCTTGAAACAAGTGTTTTCTTTGTGCGTGATCAGGAGAGCCGTACCAGCTCAGTGCCCAGCGGAGGTTTCCCGGGGGTGTTCATCCGTACTCGCCCACTGATGAAGGCCTCAAACTCAGCCTGTCTAAAGGAGTCTCCATGTCTCTGCCCTCGTCCCCTCTCTTGCCCCGACACACCTACGTGATGGCAGCTCGGCCAAGCAAGAAGTCTCCAGGTGAGATGTGTATTAAAACCATCAGTTTAGATTCTCCTCTCACTCTTCTGAGACTATTGGGAGAGTAACCCCTGATATGACGTTAACAGTAGTGACGCACGATATATCGGCCGCCATATCGGTATCGGCCGATATATGTTCATTTTTAGTGTTATCGTTATCGGCCTGATAAGAAAATTAGGCTGATATATTAAATTTGATAATTAATGTATTATTTCCTTCAGCTGAGATGCTTCAGATGCGCTGTTCAACATGATGGTTTGGAATTGCTTGAAATATGATTGGAAAAAAATGAAAATACAGTTTAGTGCAGCACAAGTCTGTCATATAGTCCATGTAAACTATATGATGTGATTGGGATATGGATTTTAATGGTGAGACTTTTGTTTTTGTAATCAGACTCTCAAAAATGAAATAAAAATTTGGATTTAGATTTATCAGCCAATATATCAGTTATCGGCGTTCAAGTATAAAGAATTATCGGTTATCGGTATCGGCCAAAATGTTCATATCGGTGCATCCCTAGTTAACAGTATATGAACTACATAATTGTATGTGATACCCCTAGTTCGTTCCGTTCTTTTGAGTGTGTTCTACTAAAATCATAAATGAAACAAAAAAAGTGGGTAAAAAAGTTTAATTTTAGAAGCATCAAAATGTTTGCAGTCTGAGTTTGGTTTGGAAATTACACACTTGAATGGTGAATTTCTAACAAGAACACATCTAGGAAATTAAGAAATTATGTTTTTCATAAAGAGTACGAAGCAAACTTTCAGAGTAACACTTCATGTATAATGCATTATAAAGGTATTCATAATGTACATTGTTATGAATTATATATTTCACAAATAATTGAAGAGTTCAGATGCAAAAGCCTCTAAGTGCCATTTGAAATTTTCTTTTTTAATGATGATTTTTATCAAACTTGTATATTTAAGTTCAGTAATTTCACTTAAATAACAATTAATAGGTAATTATCATTGTCATTTAAGTGAAATCACTGAACTTAAATATACAAGTTTGATAAAAAACATCATTAAAGAAGGAAATTTCAAATGGCATTTAGAGGCTTTTGCATCTGAACTCTTCAATTATAACCAAAGTTGAAAATGCATTGTACTTGCAGATTTACATCTGAAACTGGTTGTTCTCATGTGTTTTAATGCATTATATTTTCTGTGTAACAATAAATAGATAAGTATTATCACTGTGGTTATACTTATTCATTACTTATTCATTAATTATATTTATAATGCATTATATAAAGGCTTCATGTAGTGTTACCAATTTTTTTCTTTTACAAATTCCCATTAATGCATCTGGATGATTTACTATGTTTTATTGCTATTTTGGGATAGTCCTTTTTATTTTAAATCTGCATCAGTTAAAGCAGTACCATAAATAGGTGTAATCAAACATATAATATATTTAATGTTGTAATGATTTTTGTGGTGCCAATAATATCAAATTATGATCAGAATTGGTGGGGTGCTTAATTGTCACAAAATAATGGTATTTTAAGTTAATATATTTGACTTTTTTAATCCAGTTGTTAACTCTATTCATGTGTGCTTTTGTGTATTTGTTTAGCTCTGATTGTCTTTATTTTTATAATTGGTCAAATGAAGCATCTGTTAGTTCACATGCATCTTGATTGAGTTGGTATGTCAGTACATTCAAACACTAGTGTGTGTGTTTGTGTGTATGTAAACAGTCTGAGGTGTTTCCCACACCATCTCTGTGTTGAGGACAAGGTCATGAGCAGCTGAGCTCTTCAAAAGGCTTTGCTGGTTGTTTTTGGAGGATTTAGCACAGAGGATTGAAATCTTTCAGTGGTCACTTTGGCATCTCGCTCACATCTGGCGCTCATGTGTGTTTGGATCAGCACCTCTCTTTGAAAGGGGGATTGATCCTTTGAAGGCACCGGAAGCGGGCGACACGCTCGATTTGCCCTTTGCACATTTCATTAGTCTGACAATTAAAGAAAGATAAACGTCCAAATGAGATTCCCCTGGAGGACGAGATCCTCAGCGATTCATTACAGACACCGGAAACACGTGAGATTGAGCTTTTGTTTTTACTTCCACAGATCGTGAAAATGTTGGCTGGGACAGTGATATGAAGTTTCAATTTATTATAGGAATTATCATATTTAATCTTTTTCATTCACACTATCGTTTTTTTTTTTTTTTTTTCAAATATTTTATTTCGAAAGGATGCATTAAATTAATCAAAAAGACATTTATAATGTTATAAAAGATTTCCATTTCAAATAAGTGCTGTTCTTTTGATCTTTCTATACATAAAACAATCTTGAACAAAAATGTGTCATTTTCCACATTAATATCAAGCAGTTAAAGCTGTTTCTTTGATAATAGTAATATTTGATGGTAATTGATACATTTGTTTTGTTTGATAATAATATTTAATGTTTTTTGAGCATCAAATCATCATATTAGAGTGATTTCTGAAGGATCATGTGACACTGAAGACTGGAGTAATGATGCTGAAAATTAAGCTTTGATCACAGGAATAAATTATATTTTAAAATATATTCAAATAGAAAACAGTTATTTTAAATTATAATAATATTTCACAATATTTCTGTTTTTAGAGTATTTTTGTTCAAATGAATGCAGCCTTGGTGAACTTCTTTGAAAAACATAAAGAATCTTGTTGACCCCAAACCTTTTGAACAGAAGTGTATATTCACTAATATATAATATAAACTCTTAATCTAGATAATGCCATGGTTCTCCTTTTTTTTAATTATTTGATTTTTTTTAATTAATTACAATTTAATTAATTTTATTTATTATTTTAATAATATTATAATAAATACATTTTAATTAATTTTAATAAAGTTATTTAATTTTAACATTACAAATGCCACAAAATATCAATTAATTTAAACTAAATGTCATTTTGTGTTTAACCCATAATATTCCTTCATCACACATTAGTAATGCAGAACTAATACTGTATGTCCTATTATAACATAAATGTTTATATCATGCAAATGTTTATCTGTTCAAGTAGAGAATTTTCTGGGAAAACTCGCGGGGAGGAATTTAAAAATAACCAAAATTAGGTTCATATGGACTTTACACTCAGACACTCATGTTTAGATGGTGAAAGTAATAACATGGATAATGTGAGATATTATTGTCTTAAACCCTGTATTGTCTTATTCGGGCTGTGCCGAAGGGAATCTTTGGCATTAGTTGTTGTTATTAGGAGCATCAAAGGCCGGCTGATGAGTTTCATGTGCACAGAGGACGAGGGTTTGTGTGCGGGTCGCTAGAAGTTAAAGGATTAGTTCACTTCAAAATTAAAATTTTGATTTACTCACCCTCAAGTTCTTTCAATCCGGTATGAATTTCTCTCTTCTGCTGAAGTCAACCCCATTTTTCAACTGTTTGGTTACCAACCATCTTCAAAATATCTTCCTAAACTTTCATTTTGAAGTGACCTATTCCTTTAAAGGGGTTTTATGATGGTAACGTTCATCATTTTGATTATTGGGTTTAATAGAATAGGTTAACTTAATGCTTTAATGTTCAAAAACACAGTTTTTTACATACTGTAAATCTCTTTTGTTCCCAGTCTGTCTAAAAAGCACTGATTTACACAAAGTCCCACCTTTTGAAAAGCGTTCTGATTGGCCAGCTGACCCAGTGTGTTGTGATCACCTCAAGTCTCAAATCGTGAGTTTCAGCTTCCAAGGCTTCGAAAGCAGTTCGTAAACACACAGTTAATAATGTCGTCGGTTTTACCATATCAGTTCGAGTCCGTTTCTGAAAATGCGGATGATCAAGCCGATCCATCTGATTATCCTCGTTTTTGCTTTCGCATCCAAACACAGTGTATCCGTGACATGACGACAACACTACAATTAACTGAAACCTTGTCATCTTATGCTTATATTTCACATTGTGACTTGGACGTTTGAGGAAGTGATATCGGACTCGGATCGAGGTGTTTTAGGCAGGTCTGGATCATTTTTCTCTTTTGGATAGAATAAATCCCCAATCTTTGCTATTTTGCAGATCTTATGCATGCACAGACAGATACATTACACCCTTAAGGAAAAGGAAAACATTAAGAAGCATCATATTACGCCTTTAGCTGTTCTTTTACTATTGGGTTAACCTTTCAATTTTAAGCTGCCACATATGGTGTGAAAAACTGGAGGGAGTGTGTGTGTGTAAGTGTGTTTATGAGAGAGGATGTTCAGATCTTCACGAGGAGGTGTTGAACAGCAGGACGGGGGGCAGAAATCTCTCTCTCACACACACACACACAGAGCTGCTGGAGTCCACGATCTCTACCGGTCAGGTCCTGATGCCACACCAGATCCTGGACTCCTTCCTCCAATCTCTCACGCTTGAGTTCATGTCAGTACAGATACTATGTCTGATGTGAAGAGACTAAGGCTGAGTTACACTGCATGTTTTAAGTACGTTAGCTGTAAAAGTAAATGAGACATTGCATGTTTTTCAAACTACCACTTTTGAGGCAATCTGCCACAAACCATCACTTAAAACCCAGTAAAGTGTGATTGGTGGAATAACATGTCAGCTGTATGGTCTCAGTTGTATAGATGGATATTGGCCATGATAATATTCAATTCAACTCACATTTATTTGTTTAGCGCTTTTCACAATACACATGGTTTCAGCTTTACAGAAAATTCATCAATTCAAAAGTTCACATTACAATTTAGTGTGATCTGTTATCTGAGGAAACTAAGTATTTCAGAAATGTACATAAACAATGTTATAATTTAAAGGAGTAGTTCACTTTAAAAAAAACTTTTGCTGATAATTTACTCACCCCCATGTCATCCAAGATGTCCATGTCTTTCTTTCTTCAGTTGAAAAGAAATTAAGGTTTTTGATGAAAACATTCCAGGATTTTTCTCCATATAATGGACTTCAATGGGAACTAAACGGCTCAAGGTCCAAAAGACAGTTTCAGTGCAGCTTCAAAGGGCTTTA